ATGCGTAAGAATAGGGGGCAAATATCGGGCGAGTTTTCCGTAACTAAATGAAACCACTCTACCAATTTTCGCAGTAGTGAATCTGAAGAATGCGAAATAGAATGATTACAATGCGAAACCTCTTTATTCGATTTTAGAGTGCGTGAATCCCACAAAGCCTCGCTCTCTCCGCTGGCTTCCGATAAGTTACAAGTCACCGAACTAGTGTACGCGTTGCGAGTGTCTGTTTGACTGAGGATTTCCCTAGAACCAGAAATATTTATAGCTTTACTCCAAGATTTTAAGATATTTTGACTTACAGAACGACGGATCGTGCGATTTCCTTGACACGTTAACTTGGATTTTGACAACACATAAACACCATCCAAATTCGGTACGGGTTTGAGATACTCAGTAAATGTACTGAAAAGACAACTTCTCTGGATTTCACAACAGTCGCAGTTATTAGCGGAAGACATGTAAAATTCAACTGCCAGGTCCTCTGAATCCAAGAAGCACAGTGGAGATGCAGATTGCTTTGGCTTTTCACAACCCAGAGCAGGTAGATGTTTAGAACAAATACTTCCTTCTAGATATTTATTACTTCTTTTGTGTAGCAAATGAACGTAGGGAAAAAGATGAGAACAGGTAAGTAATGAGAATGATGTAAGATCTACATACAACGGTTGAATTGGAAAACACACTTCTGAATGTCTAAGTATGTAATTGACATCTTTAGCGTCAGGAATAGAGTTATGTAAAATAATCCGATAAATTGCAACACTGAAACCATAACTGTACGAGTGCTCTAAAATTTCAGTATAGAACATCAAATCAGACCACAATGCATGCAACTCTTGAGTCAATCTTTCGTTTTGACAACCCACGTTCAGAAAACAGTCTGGGACTTCACATGGTAAAGAATATAACTTTCCAACAATATTACATTCATGTTTATCTGATTGGAGAAAACGTCGGTCATTTGAGCGCATATCAATGATGTGAGTATCTGGGGCCTTATATGTCCATTTGTCATCAATTAGATATGACATATAAACACGAGAACACGCATAGATAAATACAGGAAGAGAAGGGTGGTTAGATGCATCAGAAGTTCCTAGGTGATTGGTAAGTATACTAAACATAATAGGATGAAATACATCATCTATTGTGGCTGGTATAAGAATCATCGTAACCATAGGATTTGGTTCATCAATAACATCTGAATCAACAACAGATTGCTTCAAAGATCCCCGACCAACAAAACAACGCAATTTAGGAAGATCAATATCAGTGTTTTCTGGGAATTCAGAGTTTATGTTGCAGCCCCATTTAATAAAAACAGTTTTCAATTCATCTACAGAAACTGGAACCTCCACCAATAAACCAGAATTTAGGAGACGTGATTGAAAACTTGTTAGCAGACGCTGGTTATGAACATTATTTGAAAGATTAGATGAAGGTTTCTTGTTAACAACACTTCCCAATAAAGGGAACAAAGCAATTAAGTTTGAACAACGAGATATCAGCCTAGATATGCTACTGTACACTAGACAGATTTCTGTAGAACACTCTAGTGGAAAATATGCATCACCACCTAGTAAAGTTATCTTTTTGGGAGAACCAATACAAACTTTGGATTTGTTGGTTACGAAGTTATATAAGTTATCCAATGTTATGTATGAAACTATGCACTCTTCGTCTTCATTAAAAATAATCCGGGGTAATTCGGAAAAAGTAGATCCTGACCAGTTTTCAGCTTCCGAATCAACTGAGTTAATAATACCATCGACTGGCTGGATCCATATTTCGGAGGCAATAATGATAGGAGAAAACGAGGACTTTTTAATGTCGGGAGTCGTGGAGGAGTCAGGTGAATTTAACATGTCTAACACAACAGCATCGATACGGCTTTTTAAAAAATTATTTATAACAGTCAAATGTCCTAAATCATGTCCCTGAAATTCTACATTTTTAGGGTCAACAGTTGGATAGACTTGATACTGAACTAAACATGGAGTTTCAGTGTTACTGATTTCAAGTGATTGCATTTCCAGTTCAGTTAACAAAGACACAAATCCGGATTGCGGACCTACTCGAGCTAGATGAAATCCTTCCTGTAATCGAATGTTCACAAGACTTGAGAATATTGACTGCATACATGACTTCCAAGTTGATGAAAAAACTGCCCATACACAAACAGAATGATGAAGATGTTGAGCCAACAATACTGGATTGATAGTCGCATCATTTACTGGAACGGTTTGTAAAAACAGAAGCCGATTTTGTTTGCATGATTTTGACACACGTTCAGATTCCTGAGTATGGTCAAGCTTGACAGACTTATTTTTATTAGTGGAAATGCAGTCTGAGGCTTTTACCACAGGGTTACAGAATGTACCGAAGTCTATTACAAGACGATCAAGCCTAGTATTAAAGACTGTGCAACATGGTGTATCCTCCCAGGAGCGTTGAAGAGGTGGAACATGTTTGCACTCAGCCACATGTTGAAAAGTGCCAGATTTGTGTCTAGATTTGGGAATAGCTTGGCGCCCTCTTGGTGGAAAATGGAGAGACTTTAATTGTGTTTTGAGATACTCCATGATTTCGTGTTGGATATCAACAGGAGTATTATTGACAAATCCAATGCAAAATCTAACTTCGGGAATTTTTAATTCGAGACGAATCAAACAGAAATGAGACACAGATGACATGGAAACCCCTGAACATGTCTTATTGCAACCAACGTCACATTCACTAACCTTTTTCGCGTCCATAGTTTCCTGGGTAGCCCCAGGAACAGAAGAAATCGATGATAAAGAACTGGATTTATGTACAAGTCTCCCAACAGCAAAGTCACCGATATGAAACAACTTTATATAGGTACTATTTTCGAGCAAAACAAAACTTGACCATTGTGAGAGAAGAGTATGAACACGGAAAAGAGCTTGACGACATGATAGAGGAGAAGCATCGCGCTTGTCTGATGGAGGGAAATGTAAGTTAGGTGGTAGAGGTGAATCGTATTCCAAGAGTAAGAAGATGTGATGCAAGTCCATCCAACGATAGCACTGAACTAGGTCAATATCAATGAAAAGTCTCCAATAATCGATAAAGCGTAGAATCGATAAATAGTCAGGATTATTAGTCGGTTGTAAATCTTGTAGAATTGGTGTTGCAACCAAATCACCTTGGAGATTGTTTTTCATAACAAACACAGGATACAAACGATTAGCAAATGAATCAGGAACCTTCCGAACAAATGGGTCCCTATTGAACTCATAAACATGCGCTAAAAGTAAATCATTCAAAGTTATCATTTGGATAGGCAATGGAAGACGAGAAAACATTGACGATAGTTCCAGATTACTGTAAGGTAAAGCATGTCTATTAAAAAGCTGTCGTAAAAATGAATAATTTGCTTCAACCTTCAATTCTACCAACGACTTTTCAGGAGTAGTAAAAGAGTTAAAAAAGGGAGATAACAAAGCGTCTTCATGTATGTTCTTTGTAGGGAAATCAGTAGAGCCAGTTACGATAGGAGAACGAAGTATTCGTGTCCACCCTCCACGTATAGAACAATGGAATGTTATATTTACACCCCATACCATCACAAGATCTAACTTTAATTTAGTGGCCACACAATCATTAGAGATTTTCTCATTCTCAGTAAGTGGAACACAAGCTTCCATCTCTTCATTTTTATTGTAAACAGAAGCCTCTGCAGTAATTAAATGGCTTTTTGGAACAGTGAATTTCTTAGTTAGTGAGATAGATTTAAGCCGGAATCCACTTTTTAATCTTGTCGTTAACAAAATATGTGGAGGCAATTCTACAATTTTTGAACCTGCTTTGACGATGACTCGGGAGTCACGGTTAAAATCACTATAACATGTTGTATATTCGCTATGACGAAATATGGGGACGGCTAACAAAGATTCGGCCAATTTATTCCACGAATTCATCTGAACCGCTAAATGCTGAGATTCATACGGGATATTGACAACGAATCCATCAGTGTTACTGGCTAAGACACTGCACAACTCCACTTGCTGAATACCCGCAGTCATGAGAGAAGATTGTTTAGACATATTATGAGGAATATATGGTTTGTGGATGTCAGGGATAATATTGTCTGTCATCAAAATAAAAACACATCGAACATGTTCTACGTTTAAATGAGACATAACTAATTCTGGAACACCAAAATCAGATGTTGCAAAACAGCCGTGTGTGAAAAACAAGATTGTGGCAGGTCCTGAAATAGGAGTCAGTAATGACACAGATAAAGCCCCATGTCTAAGTAGGTCCGATAAGAAAACATATCGTCTCCCTGTATATTTCGAGTCATCACGCTTATTTTTAATGTCTTCCAAAAACGTACGCTCAAGTTTCACAAGCGAACGAGAAATATATGCTATTTTATTGGGAATCTCTTTAGTGTTAACAACCCAACCAGACAATAATGTATAGCACTTTGAGTTAGGAACAACAACGATCACGGAACAAAAAACTGTAAAGTTGGACAACTTATAACCAGTCCCGGGAAAACTATAAGAGCTGGGTTCAGAGAGGATGTAGAAAATTTGGTTGATTGTTTTTACAATACTGTTTACATAACAGGTTCCATCTGCACTTGAACACAAAGTTGACCAACTAAAGTCAACGACAAAAGTAAATCGGTAAGAATGATATAAACAAAACAGCTCCGTTTTTTCTGAAAACCGTAGAATCGTGTTACTCTGTAATGCATCACGGGTAATAAAAGAAACAATTTGAAATGGATGATTTTTTGTGTCTTTAGGATCTTTGAAGAAGCCAAAATTAGACTTACATTTTTCGTCATACATAAAGGGATAATTCAAATAATCAACAAACCAAGTGACAAGAGATTGTGGAGTTATAATCCCATCTTTGGTATAGCGAGCATACAGTCTTTTAACAAAAATGCTGCTATCCTCTTCTGAGCCTGACATAATTGTTATGAGGACATTGATGCAGATAAAACTTTCACTTCATACTTTGTTGGGTAGATAATATTGGACCAAATGTCCTTTTTGGATTGACGACGGATATATCATAGACGGTTTATAAATGCGGAAAAGTAATCCTTTAATAACCTGGAAAATAAAACACCGAATAGTGAGATTAGTCAACAAGAGACTCCTAAAATAACATATCTGAACATTGTAAGTCAGTTGTAACGCGCAACTTGGCACATATGTGCACTGGTTCCAATTGCCATATAAGACCAGCACAGTAAGATGACACATTAGTGCTTGAATAGTGTCCCCAAATGCCCCGGTACGGCCGAGGGTGGGGAGAGTCCACTCTCCCTCTTGAAATGCTCTCACATGGCCACGCGTATATAGCCACTGTTAATGAAGTCCTATTCATTGCCTTCTCGTGTTATTTACGAAATTGAGATGTCAAAAGCAGAATGTCCTGCACTTTACCCGAGCTAGTGGACACGTAGGGACCACCTAGGGGAGTTGGAAAACCCTGATCCCAAACCAATATTGCACATGGGCTCCAAGATCCTGAAGTAACAAATGGCGTATGAACCAATTATTGGCCACCGGCTACCATGGGACTTCACAGCCTTGAGGATCCGACCTTTAAGTCGAAGGCTCTGGGTGTAGCCTCCCAAGGAAATCACCTGCTTCGGCCTGGGCACCGGGGCAGTATTATAGCCCACATGCAAATCACTTGATTTTTGTGGCGCATATGTATTCGGTGCCTCTGTACCAATATTTATGTGTTCAAATAAATAAATAAAATAATAGGAAGGGTAATGGGTGAGACATGCTTCAAGAAAATGTGCGCACGTGGAAATAAAGAATCTTTGTGAAATTAATTGTGCAACTCAGAATCTAAGAGGAGATAAAGATTGAATGCATGTGTGAGATTGTGAATTATTTTGACCCGCGTCACTTAAAGTCTAACTACTGGTTACGATCATTGCTCTGATCTTAAACAGGTAGCCTACCTACATGGCTCCTTCCAGCTGTAAGTGAATTCATGGACTGATGCCACATTTAGGTTTGGCTTCCCCTAGTTGGCAACACACACCACATGAGACTATAATTTATGGACAACCTTTGAGTGACGCCGCACTGATCTTGATACCGTCGACTTACTGAGTTATAAGTGTGAAGAATCAGGACTAGGATTTACAGCCCCACAACGTTTTTGGGCTGATGGATCCAGCCGAAAACGAAATTCAATGACGTAAAAAAGTCAGGGTGCTAACTGATATCACAGTATCCATGGATTCGGCCATTATACAAGAGAAATCCTGTCTTCAAGAGTTGATATCATTGTAGGACAAACTTGTCTTAGGACGTCTATACATACTAAGATGTCATCACTTTATACCCAAGAAATGCAGCGACGATTTTTATGCATGGAAACAACTTTTAGTGGATTTATACATACATAAGTGCGAATTTCTCGGGTAAGAATGACCTACATGTTTCAAATAATAAATTTGTGGAGGGCCGCATGAAGACGTGTACTTTGTGCCCAACGACGAGTGGCTTTTTAGTGTGAGAACAGATACCCTATGGAAACGTTTGCAGCAGATCATACAGGAAAATATGATATCAGGAAATAAATGTCGATTTTCGAATAGCATCATTTTCACTTATATGTCCTCATTCTTTAACTGTTTCGTACTGATACTAGTAGTATTACCACTAGAACTCAGACACAGTGTAATTGATATAAGAAAACAAAGTGAGCGGAGAGTTCCTAGATTATTGTGCATGTGGCAACAATGTTTCATAAACACCAGTCACTTCGTAACGCTACCTTCAAAAAGAGGCCTGTAAAGGTCGGATATCGACCTTAAAAATTGGTTAAAAATGTAGAATTAAATAAACCATCGAGGCAGAGTATTTTTAGTCTCCAGTATTGATGCTGATCAAACTAGTTTTGCTGGATACACGCGTAGTCAAATGTGCACACCAAACATCTACATCAGATCACGCCTGGGTACGTCGTGCTGCACATCTCCTAGACAATTAGTCAGCTTAGATTAGGCACATCTAACAGGTTGGTCATCACTGGAATTAATCATCTCGTTTCGTCATTCTCAGAATCTGGTTTTTTGGCTTTCAGACACTCGTAAGAGGAGAAGTTTCGAACGACACGGTTGCTAACCACTATATATTCGTAAAATCGTCAGCAAGGTCAGTGAAAGTTTTGTTTCTGAGGGCCCACGTTTCCTTAGTTAGAGAGCGTTCCTGATAATTAGAGAATATGCTTTTCACTCTTGTACTGCTGTAATTGAATAAGTCAGTTACCAATAGCATAAATAATGGAATAAGACCTACGGTTAACACGCTACCCATAAAACTAAAAGTCGAACCATCGTCTCAAAAACACTGAACACCCCGTTTCTGTCGCATATTTCGAGTAGTCCCACAGTTCGATGGTTCCAACCAGGATTGGAGAACCCTTCTCTGAAGGTCAGCCAAAAGTTAAGTCATACACTTAACCACGCTATGACCTTGAGTTTAACCAGACTCGACTTCATTGTCAACAGTCCAGGAATATGCAGCAGTAAATTAAGTAACAAAAGATACATCTTTAATCACGATCGAATAACAAAAGCTCCGACAAAGAGGGACGAAGAACATAAAGAGCGGTTAAAAGAGACCTGAGAAAGGGTTAAACTACGATTTAGGGAGAAGAAACAAACAAATGATAATATTGTTCACTGAAATGGTTTTGAGGGACTTTAAGTGTGTTCTTTCCGTTAGACAGGCCTCAGAAGTCTTTCCAGCTACGTAGAGATACATCTGGATATGTCCAGTCATGACTCCCTTAGCTAACTACTCTTTGTCGACGGGAGGCAAGGGACTTACAACAGTACGCCTGTACCTCCGTGAACCGAACATATAGTCCGCAGTTATTCGACCCTCTTCAGGAGACCAAGCTTTCACATCTTTCACATGTGTGTGAAAGACTTGTATTCAAAACTTCACCTATTAGGGTACTCAATACTGCTGCTAGCTCTAATCTAGGCACGGATAGCGGTTTTATAAGTGCCACCCTGGTTTTAATATGGAACAAAACACTGTCCGGAGGTTTGTGCGCAGTTCTCTCTATTCTCACTTTTAATACTTCGGAGAATGTTGGTTGTCGCGAGCTTCAGCACAAACTTAACCAAATATTTCGACGAGGTCAAAACACTAGTAGTCAGAGTCTGGTTTCAACCAGTGCGTAACCCACAAAGGTTTGCTAAGCATTGCTTGGCAGGAGGGTATGTTGGAGCAATAGGTCCTAGTGGATTGCAAAGTGATGAAATGGTGGACAATGTCCTCTCCTGGTCAGAGGCTTTCCCTATGGGTCAAATTGAAGTTTAAAGGCATCGTGTATGATTTCCTACTCAATTCTAACGGCTCTATGAGTGGACACTAGATTCAAAAGCACATGAACTATCATTTCTATGCTATTGGATTACGGAAAATCTTCCCTTACTAGTTCTAAGTTAGTTACCCACTTTTCCAACCTTTACTTGCATGAACACCTCTTCTACATCCACAGAAACGGTAACTTGTTCCCTGTAGGAACATAACAGGATACCAACCAAACCTGTTGTTGTAGTGCACCTCGGTAGAAAAAATCATTTAAAGGTTTTATAGCCACCTTAGCAACAATCTCATACTACTCTTACTTTCCTTTTTTCTTGGTATTGATCACAGCATGATGGGCCAAGTTGCGTACCTGTAACTACAACCACATACCATTATTAATCGTCTGCTGCATGGCATGGTTGTAGCTTTCCCGAAAGTCTTATTGTATACAAGTTTTAATCTCAGACTTCCTAATCTTCGTCTGACTAGGGAGTGACTGCCGTAAGCCACATATCTTTCTATCTTCCAAGGTAAGGGACAATCCAGTGATTTTCATCAAGACAACCGTCGCACTCTATTATGATAATTGCACTTGAATCATTTAAAAATGGTGATTTATCGGAGGAACGGATTACAGAAAACGCATAGTTATATATATTCTTTAAAAGCTTTATAAGATCCTCGGATTGAAAAATATAGTTCAGAGTCATTTCATCACGTTTGTTAAAGCCTGTTGATCCGAAAGAAACCCAACCTAGTAGTGTCTTAATATCGTAAGTACTCTTCGCTCCATCTAAACTTAAGTCTAGGACACGATGCGATTCAGGCACGTAACAGACAATGAGCAAAATAACTTCGCCACCCACTAACTGTGGTCAAAGTGAACCCATAAAACGAGGCCGTCTCCAAGCACTGTACCTCACAGGTTTTCTTGGTCTATGAATTAACAAGTCATCTAGAGTAGTATCTCCGCCATTGTCCAGAAAACATGCAGACAAAATTCTTTGTCTCCAGTCTTGAAGTGCATAAGGATTAGATTCACAAACACACTCTCTTTTGGTGATTTTGTGTACCAAAAATGAATGTCTTCTACTCAGTCAATCATAGCACTTTAAGCGCCAACCGGTTTATGCAATAGTGTGTGACGCCAATTCTGACAAACTTCGATATTACACATGACACGAGGCCTACAATCCATTGATCTGTGGCCTCTTCTATAGCAAAAGACACAGGCCTTTTTCTCTCGCCTTCGACCAACTATCGTTAACTGCTAACGTGGTGATTCACAGCACATTTATAAGAAATGTGACCTTTTGGGCATATAATATATGGTGACGTGATACAGTCAGTCACTCATTAAAAACGTAGAACTTTGCACGTACATCAGATCGAGTTGCCACACCACATTAGCACATAGATACAATTGTCGATTCAAATATCATAGTGGTAAAAGTAGTAAGAGTATAAGCAGTAATCGGGAAAATTAGTGTTTGGAGATGTTACCTAAAGAGTATAATACAGTGAAATAAATTTGGGAAAAGAAAAAAAGAGACAAGGAGGAATAAGAAGATCAAAATTTGGGAGAACACAAAGAGTGTATGCACCTGCGCCATTGCAAACGATTTTGAGCCATGTCATTCAGGGTCTCTAACCGTCGGTTGCTATCATCTCGCGGCCCCCAACCAGGTAGTCTACACCTACCAACATGACTCAGTCCACTTGTCAGTGACTTCATGGAATTGTGCCATGTTTTGGTCTGGCCTACCCTAGCTTTCTTCCAATCTATTCCTATACGACAAAACATCGCTCGTTGGGGCAGTCGGTTGTTGGGCATACGTACCACATGTCCCAGCCATCTTAACTCATGAAGTTTCACTAGATCATCAATTGATTTGCCATCCTTACCTAGTACCCGTTTCCTAACAACTGCATTACTTACTCGATGGTCCCACGATATACGAGCAATATTTCGAAGACACCTATGATCAAATACTAGTAACCTACGGATATCCTCTACTCTTACCGGCCATGTTTCACTGCCATAAAGTAGGACGGAACGAACTGCTGCACAGTAAACACGTCCTTTGGTTGATAGACGGATATCTCGCCTGCGCCATAAATGACGCAGGTTGGTAAAAGCTAGTCGAGCCTTCTGTATTCGTGCTGAGATTTCGTCACACCAGACCACAATGGCTGACGAGACTTCCGAGATAAATGAAGCGATCGACACGCTCAATTATTTCACTCACTATCATTAGTTCAGCTGTCGAGGCAACTCAATCCTGAAACAACATTTTGCATTTCGAGGGGGGGAATCGCATCCTGAACATGCTTGCACTGTTGCTTATGGTGGTCAGAAGACTCTACATTTTGTCACAGTCCTCACCAAACAGAACTATATCATCGGCATATTCCAAGTCAACAAGTGAACCTCCCGGTAGAAGTTCAACCCCTGGAAATATAGACGAGGAAAGTGTTATTTCTAAAAGTACGTCAACGACAAAGTTAAACAAGAATGGAGGGAGTGGACAGCCCTGACCAACACCACTTGAGGTAATCAATTCTGATGACAGTTCGCCATAGGCTCTCACTCGACCAGTTGTGTTCGAGTAGAGAGCCTTTACAAGGTTAATGTACTTCTTTGGTACTCCTTTCAGTGACAAACACTGCCATAGAACCTCATGATCAACAGAGTCGAATGCCGCCTTAAGTCCGAGAAACACTACCATTGCGGGGCGTCTGAATGTGTGTCTGTGTTCTAGGACTTGACGCAGTATGAATATCTGGCCTATACGGCCACGTTCTGGTCGTAAACCAACCTGACTTTCTCTAGTCTGCTCTTCAAAAGCTTAGTTTCGGTGTCAAATTATTATTGAGACTAATATTTTAGACACAATGTTAGTCAAACTGATTCCTCTGTGAGTGTCACAAGAGAACTTTTGTCCTTTCTTATAGACTGGCACAATCAGTGATTGAAACCAGTCAGATGGGATTACGTCCAGTTCCGAAATTCTACCTAGGACCTCAGTCAATCTCGCTACTAATACTGGACCGTCATCCTTAAAAATCTCAGGGGTAAACCTGCCAGTGTCTGTTGCTCTCTCTCGCTTCAGATTTCCTGTAACTTTTTCAACTTCGTAAAGAGTTGAAGGACTTGCATCAATTTGCCATTTAGGTTGATTGGAGATCGTGGGAAACCGAAGTGTGGCTGAAGGCCAGTTGAACTGATCCCTGAAGTGTTCTGCCCATTGATCCAATCTCCTGGATTGAGAATGTA